TCTAATTAAGAAGATTTTCCTCTAATTACAACAAGTTACAAGGCTTGCATAACTATTTTTGATGGTTTAGTCATAGACAATGTTGAACTTGGGAATCGTTTTAGGGGGCCAAAAGATTGTATCTTGTGGATCGTTAAAAGTTTGACTTTAGTGGTAAAATTCATCCTATAAAGAAAAAGTACATTATTAACATCCATATTCTTAAAAAATATATGGCATATATGAGAAAAATGGCTTATAACTCAGAATAAGCCATAAATATCTAAGAAAAGAAAGAATAGGCCCCCTACATAAAGCAACACCCAAGAGGCCCAAACACTCTAAAAACAGGATAATATGCCCACACATACGACCCATTCGCCTGTTGATCCACAGGCCCAAGCCACACCTGCCCTGTCATTTTGTCTTGCAGAAAAATCATGCAGAAGCTAAACAATTATATCTTGTCGTGAAGAGAATTCTTAATTGGTTAATTATCAATTTTTATCTTTTGGGAATACAAAATTAGAACTGGTTTGATTCGTTATATAAATAGGGTCGATGGTGTGATTAATTACTCATCATATGTAAAGACTATGACAGCCCCCATGCAGTCATTTTAAATTCCTCCTTTTTTTTTTAATTTGTGCTTATGTATAAATTTTTTCCTGTCCCTATTTTTGTAAAGGGAGATGTAAAATTTGCTGAAGTTCTTGAAAAGATGGGAGCTCAAGTTACATGGACAGAGAACAGTGTCACTGTTACTGGACCACCACGAGATTCTTCTGGTCGAAAAGTCTTGCAAGGCATTGATGTCAATATGAACAAGATGCCAGATGTTGCCATGACACTTGCTGTTGTTGCACTATTTGCTAATGGTCCCACCACTATAAGAGATGGTATGGTTTAGCTGTTTGTTTGTGCTCAAGAGCTTGTTGTCATATTTTTTTTGTTGTTGTTAATGAAATTATTATAATTACTCTAATATTGAAATTGGATCACTGACCATGTGAAATGTTTGAATTTTTAACTTGAAAAGCTTCCTCTATAGATGGTTTTTCTTATATCTATGGGAGTGTGGGGGAATCTATGTTGTTCCTTCAAAATTTGTTTTTATAGTTGTACAACCTGGGGCACTTGCTCCTTGGGTTGGTCCAGTTCTTACTCATGACAGTCTTTTGCATCTAACTGGTGAAGACCTGTTGACCCACTGAGATTGGTCTGAACCCCCCACACTCTCCTTTTTAAATAAAACTCCAAAAGGTTAGTTGAAAGATTTCAACACGATGGTCCTTACTTTAAAGTGTATTATGGCGTCGGACCACTTGACTCTGTTAATATGTTCTCTTCTTTTAATTTATATTGTTATCATCAAACGATCCAATCTCCAAATGTGATGCTGGATAATTGTTGAATCTAGTTAACATTGTATAATCCTTTGCTTTTTCATTTATTATTTTTCCCCTTGATATATTTATATTTATTTTTTCATACTATGTTATTCTGAAAAAAAAAAATTCTTTTTCAGTTTTTTAGTTTGAGAATGCTATTTCAATGAATTTGCCTTATTATTTTCTGGTTTGGGGTTATATAACTGTGCTTTTCTTTACTTCAATGCTTCAATCGTATTTTTCTTAATGATTGAAGTCAGTGGAGTGCAGACTGCTCAAGGTTCTTTTATGGCATCTTGAATATGTTAGAACATGGAATTATGGTATAAAATCACTTTACCTTCATCTAATAGCTTAAGCTTTTGGAAAGTTGGTTAGCAAGATGGTATTATTAGTCTCTATATTAGGTGGTCTTTGAGTTCAATCCTTGTCTCTCCCAGTTCTTCTAGTAAATTTCATTTTAGTCCACTTCAAATAAAAAGTTGAATTTAAGTATAAGGCATGTGGGTCCTGTGTATTATTCATGCTTTGGGATNCACTATAAGAGATGGTATGGTTTAGCTGTTTGTTTGTGCTCAAGAGCTTGTTGTCATATTTTTTTTGTTGTTGTTAATGAAATTATTATAATTACTCTAATATTGAAATTGGATCACTGACCATGTGAAATGTTTGAATTTTTAACTTGAAAAGCTTCCTCTATAGATGGTTTTTCTTATATCTATGGGAGTGTGGGGGAATCTATGTTGTTCCTTCAAAATTTGTTTTTATAGTTGTACAACCTGGGGCACTTGCTCCTTGGGTTGGTCCAGTTCTTACTCATGACAGTCTTTTGCATCTAACTGGTGAAGACCTGTTGACCCACTGAGATTGGTCTGAACCCCCCACACTCTCCTTTTTAAATAAAACTCCAAAAGGTTAGTTGAAAGATTTCAACACGATGGTCCTTACTTTAAAGTGTATTATGGCGTCGGACCACTTGACTCTGTTAATATGTTCTCTTCTTTTAATTTATATTGTTATCATCAAACGATCCAATCTCCAAATGTGATGCTGGATAATTGTTGAATCTAGTTAACATTGTATAATCCTTTGCTTTTTCATTTATTATTTTTCCCCTTGATATATTTATATTTATTTTTTCATACTATGTTATTCTGAAAAAAAAAATTCTTTTTCAGTTTTTTAGTTTGAGAATGCTATTTCAATGAATTTGCCTTATTATTTTCTGGTTTGGGGTTATATAACTGTGCTTTTCTTTACTTCAATGCTTCAATCGTATTTTTCTTAATGATTGAAGTCAGTGGAGTGCAGACTGCTCAAGGTTCTTTTATGGCATCTTGAATATGTTAGAACATGGAATTATGGTATAAAATCACTTTACCTTCATCTAATAGCTTAAGCTTTTGGAAAGTTGGTTAGCAAGATGGTATTATTAGTCTCTATATTAGGTGGTCTTTGAGTTCAATCCTTGTCTCTCCCAGTTCTTCTAGTAAATTTCATTTTAGTCCACTTCAAATAAAAAGTTGAATTTAAGTATAAGGCATGTGGGTCCTGTGTATTATTCATGCTTTGGGATGAAAAGGTTTTTTTATCTGGTGGCATGTTTGGATTATAGTATAGAATCATTCATGTGTATCAACTCAAGTTTTTGTGATAGTTGTATAGTATAATTAGTGTCTGAACTAGATATGATCTTTTTGTAAATTTGACATAAAGAACTACGATGCTTCTTGTTCTGAGTTTTTCTTTTAAATCTTTTTAATAATTGAAAAGTTTTAGTTGTATCCGAAAAGAGAGCAGAAATAGGCAGCCAGCTATTCTCTTGTAAGCCAGAATTAGGTTCATTTTATGTCATTCCCTATGTTATGCATTTGAACTATCTACTTTATCATTTAGCATAGTAGTTTGCTTCTAACACACCCATTTATTCATTATTTCCTCTATTTTTCAGTGGCAAGTTGGCGAGTTAAAGAGACAGAGAGAATGATAGCAATATGCACTGAACTCAGAAAGGTATTGCTACTTCCTTTGTGGTTTCTATCCTATGGACTTTTAGCATCTCACTAACCTACTGTCTTGGCATTTCAGCTAGGAGCAACTGTTGAAGAAGGTCCTGATTACTGTGTGATTACTCCTCCCGAGAAATTGAATGTAACATCTATAGACACATATGATGATCATAGAATGGCAATGGCATTCTCTCTTGCTGCTTGTGGAGACGTTCCAGTAACCATCAAGGATCCTGGTTGCACCAGGAAGACATTTCCTGACTACTTTGAAGTCCTTGAGAGGTTCACCAAGCACTAGACATTCTTGTACATTGAGTAGGGAAGAAAAAGAGAGAGATAAAATACTCACAAAACAGTGAGTATGTGGCTTGCTTTTGTTTCTAAAAATTACCCTGTAAGGACGTGAGATAATTTGTATTGTTGAAAGAGCTATTTGTTCTGTTGTATCAAAGTAAATTAATTTTCAAGTGACATCGCTCTTTTCCTCTAAACGTGGTAGTGCACATCTTTGCATTTGATTCCTTATCGGTTGAGATGGGACCTTACCTTTCATTGTGTATCATTTTAGTCAAACACCCCAGATAATATGTGGTCAATAAAGAGTCTAGCTAGCAAATGTGTCTGTGATTGCATGCTTGAGTTCAAGACATTTATAAATGATTGACAGAATGTAAAAGGCTCATCAATTAAAGTTTGACTCATTTGGTCGAGTCTTTTATTCATACTACTTGATTCTCAAATTTTCTTGTTGGTATAAGTAAATTTCTGCTCACTAAGTAGTATTTAACGTATGTTATTACACTAACAGACTTTAAATGTTATTCCAATCTTGTTTAAAAATGACGTCAATTTCATGAAGTTAGCGTGTTGTATGATATCTGACGTTAAATTCATGTCGGTGTGGGATAAAACCATCGTTATTTCACGTCAGTTTATACTTTTTAATGTCAATTTATGTCACTCATAATAATGTATGACGTAAAAAATCGAAAATATCATATATTAAAAGTTTTGTATGAGTTAGTGTGTTTTGCAAGAAGGCATTAATTTCTGTAATCTAGACCTTTACATGGTGTAAAAAAATAGATATGTTAAGCTAGAGTGGCCTGCAACAAGTAGAGTGCAAGCATGACCTTGGGGACCAAATGGCCATGTACAACTTCCCCACCAACTTCAAAGCCCTGGCCCTAGAGGATGTACTTTTGTTTTTCATTTTATTGAAAGTTCATATTCATTGCAATTGCAGAGAAAAATAATCTATGAAAGTCACATGAAATTCACCACATGCTTCCTTGTTCATCAGTTCATTTTCTTTAGTCACAGGCATGGCCTATGCAACAATTTGACCACTCTCATTATAAATGCTGTTCGGCAGAGACTAAGAAAATATATAAATTATTGCACATCTACAGGTGAGGTTCATTGCTCAGATCCACTTTTCCAAGTACTAAAAACACAGATTATGGCATATCTCCTGAGATTTTTTTGTAACACCAAAATGCATGTGACAATGTACTAAATGTTTTACTATACAGTCTGTTTTGACAATAAAATATGTACAAAGTACAGCTTATGTTAATTCATGGAAAATGATGATATGTGAATTAGGAGAAAGAAAACCATAATGGAAGTGTATTTTTCTTTTCTATCTTTTTAATATTATTTAATAACAGAAGGTTGCACATGGGAGGGGGGTACTGGCTCATGTGGGATATTAATTTTTGTCCCTTACCTAAAAAGAGAGAAAGAGAAAATAACTATTTAAAAAGAGTACAGCACTTCTACCACCTCTTGTTCTGTTTTCACTACTCTTTCATGCCTTGTTTGTTGGCTTCTGATAGTGACGAATGTGATATCATCCTCAGAAGAAAAATGCCACATAAATTCCAGAGGTTGAAATTTCAGCTTCAAAATCATATTTATTTTATCACTTTTCAAATTCGGTTGCATGTGAGAGAACATTTGCAGCTCTTCAACAAAGGAACAACACTTCAATCCTTAGATTTTTGTTTTTGTTTTACAATTTTATGAGTCCATTCTAGTACTTTTGTTCCAAGAGCTGTCATGTAGTAACAACAAAAACCAATTTTATTTCCTTATTTTTATGATTTTTAAAGTAATCATTATAAAAATTAATATTCTACTATGATCTGTGAATGGACCAACTGAAATACTATTTTATAATATGCTTTTTCTCATATACAAATTAGTATATAAAGTAATACATATGCCCTGGTTTATCTTATGTGTATTTATTACAAGAAGAGCAATTTTGTTTTCTTAAGTATTACTCTATCCTTGAATATTAGTCTTAAAACCTGAAAGACCTTGTGAACAAAGCAATCTTGTCCTGATCCTGTGGTTGTTCTACACCAGTCCTTACGTGTACCTTTGCACATGATACTTTGCTGCACTAACATAAATTGTTTGATAAGGATTCTTGGGAGATGCTTTTGCCTTCATTTTCAAGTTTGTTTACACTTCAAGTTGTTCTTTCAATGCATTCTCTTTTCTTTTGGGTCCACCTCTCTTTAAGACTCCAGCACACAAAAACAAGTAGACAATAATTAATCACTACTACTTCATACATGGCTTCCACTAACTTATAATTTCATATATTACATGTGTTATGAGTGTCCTTGAACTTGTATTTACACAAATAATTATAGAACATGATAATCTACTACTTTAGAGTTATAAGTAAAATTAGTTACTTTCATATTAATAAGAAATTTTGTTTAATATTCTTGTGTTATACTACAAAGAGATACATTTTCTATTTCCATTGTATTTGTTATGAATAATAATGAGTAGGAGTAAAGAAAAAATGATATTTTTGAAATAATAACATTAAATAGAGTATAAAAATTGAAAATTGTTTATATTTAAGTCTACCCAATAGAGTATGATTTTAACTTTGATGATTTGATTTTGACTTTATTGTGAAATGTTTATTTTATTAAAATTTGTGTTGGAGTTCATGGTCTTTAGGGGGACTTTACAAAAGAGAAAGGTGATGAGGGCATTACTAATACTAGGGCATCCCACAAATTCAACCTTAGCTAGTTTGCTACGACAAATCAAGTATATGGTAAGAAAAATGGGGTGTGAGAGAAAAGTATGAATGAAAATGTATAACAAATTGTGTTTGGACTTTTCCATGCCTTGAATGGAAATGTTTTAAGATGAGTTTCAACTTCTAAGAAGAGATATGTCAAAATAAATTTAGGGTATTTTTTCCTTATGATGGTAAATTACTCAACCTTTTAAGTGATTCATTGGTATAGTTGAATTTGATGTAAAGGGAAAATCAAGAAGTGTCTTCATGGAAAAGTTATATCAAAGATCATATGCTACACTTAATGACCAATGTTTACTTTGATTGCAAGAAATGGATGTGATTAATGTGCAAATCAATTAATTGAAACTAACTAAGTGGGAATATTTTGCCTCAATAACCGCTCAAGTAAATCTAACTATTGTTAAAATGATTCTATGAATTTAGAGAGTTTTGACTATTAAATTTAGGAGAAGTTTTACTATCTCTTACTCAATTATATTCAAGACAATTTTTAGTAGGATTTTGTGCCCAACTTAGTAAGAAGAAGTTTTGGGTTTTGACTCTCTAACAACTTAAATTGAGATTTTTCTAACTTTAGAAATCATTAATTGTGGTGTTAGCTCTATAATTAAACCTTTAATCCCAATCCTTTTTTTTCTCAAAATATTTCAATTAAAACTATTAAAATTCAAATTCACACGAATCTCACACATATTCCCTTTAATAGAAAAAAGGCTCTAAAGATCTCATCCATTGGATTTGCACAATTCAACAAACCACCCATTATTATTATGTCCCCTTGATAAATTTCACACTTGAAAACCCTTCTCCTCCAAAGGAAGTTTCCTCCACACAAAAATATCCTTAAACAAAGAGCCTCTACAAATCTATTTTAAAACCTCCCCAAATTCAAGGATCTCCAGCCAATCAAATTAGCATTTTGCATCTTTTACAACCCACCCACTTGCATTGCATTTCTCCAATGAACACCTTTTGTGCTTTCATAGACAAAGGGAGGAAATACTAACACAAAAATATACACTCAAACACCATCTTCATCTACATTTCCTCAAAATATTTCTACCCATCTGTGTCTTTGATATGCATTTTAACATTCTTCTCTAAATTTTGAAACTTTTTTGAGTAAACCTGTGAACCCAAAAGAGAGGCAGCACCTTCAACCCATTCCTCCAAGAAACTAGAAGATTCCCATTTCCCACATACAAATATTTCTTTTTCTCTTTTGTTTTTAAAAAGAAAAAAAAACAACTCACCAAACCATCCTTTTCTTTTGTTCCTGTTTTCTCCATAACTTTCCCATCTCTGAAATAAACACAGCCAAACCAAACCATTTCATCATCACCGTTATAACACTACCAGAAAACCCTAGAAACCCAACAATTTTGGGAGCCTCAAACCCAATCCCAGAAACCAAAATTGACCTCTCAATTCGTCGAACCGGAGGACGAGAAATCGTGGGCACCTTTCAAAATCCTAGATTTCCCCTATCGAAAGTCCCAACTGAAGCAAATGTCACACATAGACAGTGCCCCTTCGACTCCAGGGAAGTTCAAGATGGAGAAAAGCACGTACTTTAATCGCGTGCGGTGGCACACCTCGCTGGCGAAGCTCGCCATGTGGTCCTTCGTGTTTTTGGGCGCGATCTTGATCTTCTTTTTCCGGTCGCCGGCGTCAACGCCGGTGCCGGCGGACCTCTCACGGAGGTCATTGAGGACCTACAACTGGGGCGGACCCGTCTGGGAGAAACGGGTCCGAGCCTCTGCCCGGGTCCGGTCCCGAAATGGGTTTGCCGTTTTGGTCACTGGAGCCGCCGGCTTTGTCGGCACCCATGTTTCTGCGGCTCTGAAACGCCGCGGTGATGGGGTTCTGGGAATTGACAATTTCAATGACTATTACGACCCTTCTCTGAAACGTGCACGCCAGTTGCTTTTGGAGCGCACTGGAGTGTACATAGTTGAGGGTGATATCAATGATGAAGCACTCTTGAGGAAGCTTTTTGAGGTTGTTCCTTTCACTCACGTTATGCACTTGGCTGCTCAGGCTGGTGTGAGGTATGCCATGGAGAATCCTGGCTCTTATGTGCATAGCAACATTGCTGGTTTCGTGAACTTGCTTGAGGTTTGTAAGAGTGTGAATCCGCAACCTGCTATTGTTTGGGCATCTAGTAGCTCAGTTTATGGACTCAACACTAAGGTTCCATTCTCTGAGAGGGATAGGACTGATCAGCCTGCTAGTTTGTATGCTGCCACTAAGAAGGCTGGTGAGGAGATTGCTCACACTTATAACCATATCTATGGTCTTTCATTGACTGGCTTGAGGTTCTTCACTGTTTATGGCCCTTGGGGTAGGCCTGATATGGCTTACTTCTTCTTCACAAGGGATATTCTCA